AAGATGTTTATCCTGTATTTGATTGTGTTTATCTGCAGTTAGTTACACGAATTCAGTTATGGGATGAAATCGGATAGGGATGAACGTGTTTAAGAGTTTTAAGAGTTTAAGAGTTTAAGAGTTTTTAAGAGTTTTAGCCAAATGCATTATAATATAGTATAGATAATATAACATTTTATAAAGATAATAATTAAGTATTATGTTAGAACTCAATGATTATTCTAATTATATTTTAGATTTTATATATAGAATAAGATGTTTATCCTGTATTTGATTGTGTTTATCTACAGTTAGTTACACGAATTTAGATATAGGATGAAATCGGATAGGGATGAAATCGTTTAACGATGAACGAGTTTAAGAGTTTTTAAGAGTTTTAGCCAAATGCTTTATAATATAGTATAGATACCGATAAACAAACGTCGATATACCTACTTAACTCAATCTCATCTCAATTTCTAAAAAAAAAATGAAATTCAAGTAAAAATTACAAAGTTTCTATTGGTTGTTTATATATATGTACATATTTCATAATTAGTAGAAATTTATTTAAAATAGAGATTTTAATTTTTTTTTCTTTAATATATCCTTTAAAAGGGAAAAAAACAGGGGAGATATGGGAATAAAATTATTCAAATTTCAGGAATTTGATATAAATAAGTGTTGAAGAGATAAATATTTGGAAAAATTGTTGAAGTTATATTTTGAGATTATGTAGTCTGTAAAATTTTGGAGAATCTATTGTTACCTATTGCACATGAACACGTGTATCCAACAATTTCCACCTCAGCACCGATAATTTTGAAAGCATCTGTCTCTCTCTTACTCATTGAAATCTCCCTTATAAATAGCGTAGCCAGCCAGCTTTTTCTTCCAATCCACGTTCCATCTTATCCCCCTACACCACAAGATGACTTCTTCCTCAGATCTTGAAAACCCACTCGCCGCCTCCGCCCTTCCCCACTCTTACGCCCCATTGCCCGACGGTGAACAACCTGCCGGAAATAACCCCACCATTCGCCGCCCCAGAAAAGCAGCGCTCTTTCTGGTGTCTGCGTTCTTGGTTCTTCTCTTTGTAGTGGCCTTGATCGCCGGAAACGGGCCTGTACAACGCAAAGACTTGAACACCGAGGTATCTCTGACCGCACCAGAGAAGGTAACGCCGTTGTTGTCACGTGGAGTGGAGAAAGGTGTGTCGGAGAAATCGTTTCATCCGTTGTTGGGTGCCGACGATAATTCGTATCCATGGAGCTCGAACATGTTGGATTGGCAAAGAACTGCTTTTCACTTTCAACCCAAGAAAAACTGGATGAACGGTAATTAAATTTATTCAACTACATTATCTTACACACAAACAAAAAAACAAAAATCTGTTAAGTTATCTTAGAATTGAATTCATTAATTAGCTACACCATTCACATGATTAAATCTCGGGAATGGTGATATTCTTTAATTATAAAGTCTAATAATTTGTTGTTTTTATATTGATTTGGGTTGGCAATGGCATTGCTGGTGATGGCGGTTGCAGATCCTAATGGTAAGTCCAACTTTTATCTGTTTTCTTTTATGCATATTCAGACATTCAGCTCAGCCTTTTTAAGACTATTCTATATAATAGATTCAGTTTTAAACTGTTATTTGGTTTGGCCCACACACGTTTTCCCCATTCATCGTTCATCCTTCCTTCCCTTTAGACAACCTCACCTGATTCACCAATCTAGTTATTTCCAGCCCTTCAAATGAATGACTGAAAAGGGAGAAAGAGATGGCCCTTTTAGTTAAAGTATTGTTTTTTTATAAGTAGCCATACCTTAAAAAGAGCATTGGCCTAGCTGGAGTGACGGTGTTATAAGATCTCACCGTCCAACCTTACTATATTTTTATATTTATAGGAAATCTTCATAAACAAACAAAAAGATTTCATTTTTGGTGCATATTTATCTTAAATATTTATGGTAAAAGTTATATAACTTGTATCTCGTCCCTTATAGACAAACACAATCATGTTCGGTATTGGGACAAATGTGAAAGACCGAACATGACATTACTTACTTGAGAGATAAAAGTGAATTACTACACGATGGTGAAATAATAATTATAGAATGTTTTAAGGCTATAATTTGATAGGAATAGCTTGATAATTTGTTCAAAGTTAAAAGATGATACAAATTTTTTGTCAGTTTAATAATATTGTCATACAAAACAAATACAATATTTCAGGTCCAGTTTTCTACAATGGATGGTACCACCTGTTTTACCAATATCATCCGGATGCTCCTGTGTGGGGCAAAATTGTGTGGGGTCACGCCGTCTCCAAGGACTTAATTAACTGGCGCCACCTGCCCATCGCCATGGAAACCGACCAATGGTATGATGAGGAAGGCGTGTGGACCGGTTCTGCCACCATCCTTCCCGATGGTCAACTCGTCGTTCTTTACACCGGATCCACCAACGAATCCGTCCAGGTCCAAAACCTAGCATATCCCGCCGACCCATCCGACCCGCTTCTAGTCAAGTGGGTTAAATACCCTGGAAACCCCGTGTTAGTCCCACCACCCGGTATCGACAGCAAGGACTTTCGTGACCCTACAACCGCATGGAAGACCCCTGAGGGAAAGTGGCGGATCACAATCGGGTCTAAGATCAACAAAACGGGTATTTCGCTGGTTTACGACACTGAAGATTTCAAAACTTTTGAGCTCTTGGACGGGTTGCTCCATGCCGTCCCGGGTACGGGTATGTGGGAATGTGTCGACTTTTACCCGGTTTCAAAACAGAACGAAAACGGTCTTGATACGTCTGTAGATGGGCCCGGTGTGAAACATGTGGTGAAAGCCAGCATGGATGATGACCGAAATGACTATTATGCCATCGGTACTTATGATGCGCATAAGGGAAAATGGACCCCGGACAATCCCACATTGGATGTCGGGATTGGGTTGCGATACGATTACGGAATATATTATGCCTCGAAAACATTTTACGACCAAAACAAACAAAGAAGAGTTTTGTGGAGTTGGATCAAGGAAACCGACACCGAAGCCTCCGACATCAATAAGGGTTGGGCTTCTCTCATGGTAAGTTTCAAATTAATTTCATTTCATATTTAGGAGAAACAGTCCAATTCTGGCTGGTATGAAATTCTAAGAGTAATCCTGTAATGTTGGTAATACAGGGGGTTCCGAGAACAGTTGTGCTGGATAAGAAAACTCAAAGCAATATAATTCAATGGCCGGTTGAAGAAATCAATAGATTGAGAACAAATGTTACGGTTTTCAAGGATGTTGTAGTAGAAGCCGGCTCGATTGTGCCACTCAACCTACCCGCGGCGTCTCAGGTACTTTACTTGCTATATATATTGAATGCCCAACAAATTTCAATATTTTTGGCTAGATATATATAATATAGGTATTGATTATAAATCGGGTTCTTACAGTTGGATATTGTGGCTGAGTTTGAAATTGATGAAAAGACGGTGAATCGATTGAATGGAGATGATGTTGGATACGATTGTGTGAAAAACGGTGGAGGTGCACAAAGAGGTGCATTAGGGCCATTTGGTTTTTCCGTGCTTGCGACCGAGGGGCTCAAGGAACACACCCCTGTGTATTTCTACGTTGCCAAAGGCGTCGATGGAAATCTTCAAACTTTCTTTTGTGCTGATCAATCAAGGTTAAATTTTGTTTCATTTCTTCAATTCATGGGTCAATTGACCTACTTTTTCTGAACCAACACAAACACAAACACAACCACAACCACAACCACAACCACAACCACCTATTTCGCAAAACCTCTTTTTATCTGCAAAGTTCACTTTTGTTTATCATATATAGATAAAACTTATATATGTGTGATCTCTATTTTTTGTAGGTCATCTACTGCCAATGATGTGGACAAGTCGATTTATGGAAACATAGTCCCGGTGCTTAAAGGTGAGAAATTATCGATGAGAATTTTGGTGGATCATTCGATTGTTGAAAGTTTTGCACAGGAAGGACGCACATGTATTACTTCGCGTGTTTATCCAACAAAAACAATCAACGACAATGCTCGATTGTTCTTGTTCAACAATGCTACCGCAACAAAAGTTACGGCCTCCGTCAACGTATGGCAAATGAAATCCGCACACATTTGATCATTTTTTATTTAATTAATTGCTAAAGTGTATTCTTGTTTTTATGAGAGGGGAAATAATTAAATCCCCCTATTTTTTTTTAAAATATATTAATTATTCTGGTTCCTTCATTTTTACACATGTAACTCAAGAACTTGAGAGAAAGGAGTCGTTTTGTAAATTTCATCCAGTATATTAAATCCTTATTTATCGTTTAAGTCATTTGTTTAATTTTTTTTTCCTAAGAGTTAACATATATTATTTATTACATGAGATCTAAATATATATAAGAGGCCAAAATGAAATTTTTCACAAAAAATATATTCATCCCGAACATATATTTTATTTTGGAGAATCCAACATTTAATTATAATATAAAAATATTTTAGTCATCTATTAAAATATTATTTTTGTCTCTAAATATTTATTTTCAAAGATTTCCTATCGATGGAAATATATTAAGAAAATATTTTTCTCATATGTTAATCATTTTTTAGGATGTTCTTCACATTTGGTGATTTTTTTTTTCTCTTTTCTACTTTTTTTCAATTTTAAAGTTGATTTTAGGGGATCTGTTAAAATATAAAATTGGTTTAAAAACTCTACTTTTTCATTTTTCTTATTTAAAAAGTTAATTAAATACATTATATATAATATTTTTAGATAATGGATAAGAGATAGGGTTTGGTGAGACGAAATTAAGCCTGAAGGACACGGCAAAGGGAAAGGGTCGCGCGCCTGCTTTAGTCATATGCTTGAACAAATCATGTGGTTTGGAAGCCATTGCATGTGATTAAAAACTATTTATGATTTACACAAAATAATTAATAATTGAACAAACGTATTTCAGTTTCTATGCTTACCATCATATAGATTTTGTAAAATTAAGAGTCTTGAAAAAATATATTGATTCAAGTTATAAGTCAAAATTATGAATAATTAAGTAACTATACACCAAAATACTAAAAATAAATAAATATTATGAATGTTTATTTATTTTTATACAGGTTGAAGATGTCGAGCGAGATTAAATGAGAAAGAGATTTGAATCGGAAATGTCAAGTGAGATTGAAAGGAAAAGAAATGTCAAGAACGAGGGATTAGATGTGAAATTAGACAGTACAAGGGCCTATTTTGCCAAATTTGCAAGACTGGTGGAATAGAAAAATAGAAAAAAAAAAAAAAAAAAACCAACCCAAATGCATCGGCAGAAGAAGTAAAATTCGGCATCGTCGCCTGGGAGTTTTATCTGAATAACATACTCCTAAAGTTACTTATTGTTTCGTTAGTAGTCGATTGAATTTTGTATGGATAAAACAGTTTATATAAATTAATTTGTTTGTATAAATTTGGAGAGATAAGTTAAAAAAAAAAACTTAATTTTCTGCATAAAACTTCTATAGAAGTTTAATGAATAAGTTATTTTTTATATCATTAAGTCATCATCAAAAAGTCATGTATAATTGACTAAATAAGATTTAAATCCTATTAAATTTATTAAGCTACTAATAAACCGGTGCTTGCAAGTAGTGATGGCCAAACCGGCCCGGAACCGGTAAGGACCAGTTATAGAACCGAAATTTGGGATCAATTATGGATTTGGGGTGTTTCGCGGGATCAGGACCGGTTATGGACCGGCCTGGCCTGACCCGATTTTTAAAAAATGTAGTTATTTTTTTTTTAAATGTAGCCGTTTTTGGCTCTTTTTTGTATTTTTTGCTTTCTGAACATTGTATATAAGTGTCTTGGTTGAAAGATTTACATACCAAGTTCTCAATTCGCAAAAAACGCAAAAAAACGTTCACAATTATCGGTTTTTCGCTACATTTTGTAAGACAATGTAATTTTAATGATAATAAAACGTATTTTTAAAGTGTATATGAGTGACCCAATTACAAATTTTATAATGTATTAAAAATATATATAAATTAAAAAAATAAAAATAAAAATAAAAAAAAAATAAAAATATTATTTTTTAATGACCGGGACCGGCAGCCCGTAACTAGTTACAATAAAGCTTCACCGGGCTCAACTTTTTAAACCGTGACCGGTTATTGTTGGTTATGAAATTTTTTGAGACCGGTTGGGACCGGCCCGGCTTGACCCAGCACCGGTTTTTGGCCACCACTACTTGCAAGTTGCATCTAATGAATTTTTATTTCTGGGTTGTTAATTAGTTTACTGTTGGGCTGCCACTCACGGTCCTCTACTGAGTAATGGGCCGTATGTAAAATGCATGTGTTGTTTTCATCTACCATCGGTTCAGTTTCAGTTTAAAAAACTCTCCACTCCATTTAGCAACATACATGTTGCTTCATCATCCATAACATTGGCTTTAAATATTTAATGCTTCATACCAAGTAAGAGATGACTACCCAGTCAGAGTCAGAGATGATGGTATTTACTATTACCTAATTAGTTAGTGTTTACAGAGTAAGAGACGATTATAGTATGCCATTTTGATTACCAGCAAATTTAACGGGATGTATGATAATTGAAGTTGACGACTAGTTCTTACTGGGTAAATGATTACCCTGTGCCGGTAAACGCTCCCTAATTAAACGATTCCTAAAGGTCATATATATGCTATTAACCAACATTAATATGAAGGTTAAATCTAAAAACAGTAGCGGTATAGGTATCTTCTTAATGTTTCACACCTTCTCCTACTGTAAATGCAAGGACAACTCCGATSGAGCTCTTTCGAGAGAAAAATATCAAACTACTTGGAATGGCCAACAAAAGCACACTGCGSGCAAAAACAAAAGATCTCAAATGGGTTCTTTAGTTCTTGGTTCATTTGTTTTTAAATTATCCAAAAAGCAACATTATGATAATGACAATTGACACCATGAGCATATAAGGGTGGACGTGTTGGGATAAATATGGGCGAATTAAAATCCGATAGAATAGGGATGCTCTTTTGCAGGAATTTACTTTGTGGTGGGGGAGAAGAGAGGAGCTTTAACAAATTACTTGAGTGATGATAAAAGTTGGTGTTATATATATATATATATATATATATGGGGAGGGGGGGAGGTTTAAAGCAGATAGAAGAACCCAAAATCATGTGCAAAATCAAATGTGCTTTTACATTAATGGTCAGTGCATAAGGGTGTGCATGCGACGTGACCCGCAACCTCAAGTTACGATCAAAAGCGCGTTAATCACATGTGATTTTATACATGATTTCAGTGTAAAATCACAAGTGACTCGATTGTTTTCTTAGACTATTATTTGATAACTATTCTCATATAAACTTGACTCTTTCTCTCTCTTTATATATATAAATCGTAATATGGTTGTTTTTATGTGAGATCATCATCCTACTTATATTAAACTAGTGTTTTGTTAGTTAAAGGAATTCTAGCTATGTGAAAAATGCATAAGAGTAACAATCCCCACTATGTATGAGTTCGAGTTAAAATATATTACTTTTTGTCAAAAAAATAAAATTTAATTGATAACTAATGTATTAAACATGACAAAAAAAAACTATAATATTGAAAAATATTGTATTTTTAGTAAATAAAATTATTTGTTAGATTCTTTCAAATCACTTCTAGATAAGTTGATTGATATAAATGACACTGAATATACTTGATATACCATAAAAGTATAACAATTTTAATCTATAAATTATCTTCTTCTCCCTCGGAACATAAATGCACATACAACAGTTGTCGTTGTTGTCTTTTTTGCTTTCACACAAAATGATTTGAAACAAATCAACACAATGCAAAATTTCAATCGGTTGCATTCGCTAGCTTCCCGATCTCTGTCTTGCTTGCAAATATACCTCATCTCGCTATTAATAAGTTGCGTGATTGATATGAAAGAGTTTGCAGGAGGAGAAGAGATGAAAGATTCATAGTTTCAAAGACGTTTCCATTGATAAGTTGGGCATGATAATTGAAGGTACAATTAAGGTAGATAAGCTCCATTAAAGCTAATTAATTAAGTAGGTAGATATTTGAGTAATGTATAATTCAACAAACAGATAGATAGACATATAGAGAGATACTATATATGCTAGTAAGGAGAGACACCCACATTTGCAGAAGCAGCAAATAAACCATCTTTCATGAAACCACGGTCTGTGTGATAATCCTGCAATATTCATTAAAACCCTCATCATTTCTAATGCATACATACATACATATACGTTTAATGCAATTAACATATCTTTAATGAGATTATTATGCTATTTAATTTAATTGAGAGCCATGACCATGCATGTAATGAAATGGAGGAGAGTGATCCAAGAGGTATATGAACAGTGTACCTGTTGGCGCATGCTGGTCTTGTTGGCAGCATTTGTCTGATCAGCCATCAGACCAAAGTGAATGTGTGGAAAGTGGGCCCACTGTTGGATAAAAACCAAATACATACATGCATCACATTGTAACATATAATATATAGCTTAACAAAAGACAATTAATTACGTACGATCAAGAGATCTTAATTTTAAATCTTACAGACAGAATCTAATGTCTCATATATACCAACATGCAAATCCTAGTTTTAGATACTAATTAAGGGGGCTTAATTAAAGTTGTGTCTTTTTATGATATAATGGTAAAAACCCTAAAAGTAATAAAGAGAAAGACATATTACATTCTTAGCAGCAGCACTGAAGGCTTCTCTATGACTGATGTCAGGGTTCCCAGCTTTGATCCTTTGAATCTCTTCCCTGCATTTTGACTGATTGATTAATTTCGTATTAATTAACAAGCTTCTTGTTTTTGTTATAATTAAGATAATTAATCTTACACAGAACAATATTTAATTACTTATAATTAACAAAAAGGAGATGAAAGCTGACTTGATGAATCGATTGTAGGCGGAGGGGACTCTCTGTCTCTTCTCTGGAGCTGACATTATAAAAAACAAAACCATCAAATTTCACTTTCTACTGTGTTTTCTCCTTCAATCCCCTATTTCTTTGTCTTTTGTCTCTTTAAATTTCATCCAACAATTATTTATTTTTGAAAGTTTAAGGAATATCTATAATGTCACTTCACACATCCTTTCCTATTTTTTCTACTTATGTACATTCTCTACCTCATTTACTTTCTATATTAACTATACCTGTATAATTCTTCATAAAATCTCAACATAAACAATTTTATTTTACTTATCTCTCTCTCCCTCTCTCTCTCTCTCTCTCTCTATATATATATATAAATGAATGTTGTTATTGATTAGGGATTTGGGGAAGAACTGAATGGGAAGCAAAAGAAACTGAGTAATTAAAGAATGAGAGAGAGAGAAAGAGGGATCACAAAAGTGGCTTTTGATTTTTAACATGAGGAGCTGAGCATGGAAATATGTGAAAAAGAAAGCTTTCATTGTTGCCTTTAAACATCAGTAATTCATCAAACATTTAATAGACCAGCTCATTTTAATTTAACTTTTACAGAAAGAAATTCCATACTATCAAGAAATTAATTCCTTTAACCATAAGATTTACTTTTGTATAAATGCTATATTCACATTTTCTCTCAAGAGTACGTGGGTAGAACTTCTTTCAAAATGTAGTATCTTTTTTAATTTCCTAAGGTTTGAAGGTTTTCGTTTAAAGAAAAATACAAGTTGATGATTAAGAAAAACTGCAAAAAGGGCATAGAAATTACGCTTATATTAATCTTTTTTTTAGTGGGGGATCATATATAGAGGTTTCAATAAAGAATTCATAAACCAAAAATGAAACAGAAGACCGGAAAAAACGATGTGAATATGTGTGATCAAACGAAATCAAGAAAAGATGCAATATATATTGACAAGAAAATGAAGAATTTCACTTACGTCTATTAGTCACAGGGGGCTTTGGAAGCTCCCTAAATCCTCCTCGGGCGGTCAACGAAAAATCATTTGCGTAATTTTGATTGATCAGAAAGTTTGATTCCCCATTTGGAATTTGATCATCCTACAAAAAGATTGAAATTTTAGATTAGTTGTATATCTACCGTACTAACAAAAAAAATCCTGAAGAAAAATGATGAATTCTATAATACAAATTACCAGCAGAGTATGAGTAGAAGGAGAGAAGAAATTAGTGTGACCAAAATGAAATTGATTCACGGGTGGTGGCAGCAGCAACCCAGGCATGTTCAACGGCAGAAGGTTGGTGCAGTGACCACATCGGACTGTCACTGTCTTGAACAAGCTGGTGCAAGGAACACTCACCTATATAAAAAAAATTATATAGATGAATTAAAAATAAGTAAGTAGAAATGAAACCCTAATTTTAAGAACCTAGAAAAGAAAGATGATAAGCAGCAGGGGCAAAGAGCTAGAGAATACGGCGAGGACGGTGTCGCAGTGGGTACAGTGAACATAGCAGAGCTGATCGGAGCACGAAGGAGGAGGAAGGTGGTGGAAGAGCTGTGGTACGGTGGGAGAGGTGGTGGAGGAGGAGATTGACATGTTTTGTTTAGTTTCTGAGGAGATTTATGTGGGGGTGGGGATGCTCGTGGTATGACTGATTGATTGATTTGAGTTGAGATGATTGATTGTAATGAATTGACAGATTAACAACCACCTTGGATCTGCTTTTGGGGGCTTATGAGTTAAGTTGAGCAAGAGGGGGGGGGGGGGTGTGCAGTAGAGAGAGAAATAAGAAGCCACAAGGGCCAAATTGCCTTTTCTTCTGGGGTGCTTAATGCTAATAATTAATGGGTCGGGTATGTATCCATGCATGAGTTGCATGTTATATATATGTGTGTGTATATATATATATAATGATAAAATTCATGGCTTTTACTCTACTAAAGTATAGTAGTTATACTCATCCTCAATTTTAAGAGCAATCCATAATATTCACCTTTATCTTTGCAGGATTAAGTTATTTAAGATTTAGAGTAATATCATTAAATTATACACACACTATATATATATATATATATATATATATATATATATATATATGTGTGTGTTTAAGCGGTAATTAATTAACAACTAATGAAACTGAGGTTGGTTAGTTTTGAAGTGTGGACAAGTAATATATATAAATCCACAATTACCATTTTCTTTCTTTAGGGTATTCTCCGGTTATCATAAAAAGAATAAGATAATTGTTAGGCATTAATTTAAAACGAATTACAAGTTAGCGGGTGTTTATGATTGTTTATAAAAACAACTTATTGACTTATTCCGTTGTGACACCGGTAATAAGGATTTTTGAGTGTTTTGATAAACAACTTATATCGGTGCCAAACCGGTAATAAGAAGTTTTTGAATAAGTTAAACCATAAGGACTTATAATAAGTTGATAAGTGCTTTTGTAGAAAATCATAAGTCGTTTCAAATAAGCAATCCTAAACAACCCGTTAAGAATACAATTCAATGTTGATTAATTATGGTTTTAGTGTGTGCATCATCTTATCTAAAATAAATATGTAGGTAGCATCTAGTGTTCAGGCCTGGTGAACCTTCTCAGCACATTATGTTTTAAATTGTATAACAAATTGGCTTCATGTCTTTATCATCCCCACCCATAAGTCGGTCGAGGTTGTATAGTATAGTAGCTAGCAAAGTCCCCCTACTTAGGTTTAGTGAATATATCAACCACCAGCTTAATATCCTTTGTAGCAAGCTAGGACTATGGTAATTGGTTGTACAAAGTACAATAGAATCTTTTCATGAACAAATTAAATGGCTTATCAAACGCAACATCAAAATGGAATGAACCTTGACTTTTCTTGCTTCACACAAAAACTAGAGTCTGCCAATTGCACTAATAGTATCATTCATGGATCTATACTGATCAATATAGTGTGTGTGTGTATATATATATATATATATATATGCATCTTAACTCATTATAATAATTAGTGTTCTTATAATCTTTTTATGAATGCGAGCACCCTAATATACAAGCGACTGCAACCCCCCTTGGTATGAGGTGATCATGAGGGCTCACTACAACAAATTATCACCCTCATCGCTACCACATCATGCATACATGTCGAGATGGTGTGAGTTTGCTACATTGGATCACTTTAGAGACCCTATGGGGTTACTTTTGACAAAATGTATAATTCCAACAATATGTTTTGCGTGGTCTTTTTTGCTGGAATGTTAAGACTGGGCCTTAATTTTCTCATGTTATATATGACACGTTTTCAAATAATAATCTCATTGAAATATAGATAGAGGTTTATAAGCATTCATTTCCTCATGACTATAACACATAAACTACTAATTGAACACATATTTTCAAGGATTATCATATAAAACATAATAGAAAACCCTTAGCTGAACTTTAAATCACCTATACTAAGGTTAGGAATAGTAACAATCAGTTTTGGCTTATTTTTTGAAGTAATTCATTAAAGGTGTTTGATGATTAGGCTATATACTAGCGTTTCAAGTAATGTTTCAAATGACGTTTCAAAAAGTTCTCGCCTTGAAGGTTTTCACCTTTTTCAATGTGCTTCTTTTATTTTTACTTAAATGACCAAAAGTTGTAGCATTTTACTTATATTTACATTTTTATTTAGCTTGTCAACCAATTTTTACTAAATGTGACTCTGTTGTTAGTCAATAACTAGGTTATCACATGATTTATGAAATATAGATAATAAAAGACAAATCTTACATTCTTATCCTTTCCCAAGACAAGCATTTACAAATCATGAAACCTTTCACTGGTGGATTCCACGGTGGTGCAAGTTTTCCGATTTAATTAGCAGCTGCTCTTTTTCTAAGTAAAGGACTGTATATGTCCAAATACTATACGACATATATATGTTTACATATAGATACATATGTGTGTATATATATATATATATATATATATATATATATATATATGCATGTATACAAATATCACAAGTCTAATAAGAGAGATATGTGCGAAAGGGACGTTTGCATGAGATCATATATCTTTACTCTCATTAGTCATCTGTTGCTTTCTCTGAATTTATTAATTAATCAAAAACCACTTTCCTCCATTTTTTTAAATTTTTATTATGAAAAATGGATTTTAGCTATACTTCATTTCAATTTTATACAAATTTTATTTTATTTGATTCTAATTTAATATATTGTACCCCAAAATATTATTTCCAGTGTAATAATTTTGATCGGTTTTAACATTACGTATCAAACACATACAAACTGAATTTCTGACCAAAAGCTCACTTCAATTCATCCAACAAAATCCACAACAGTTTTTCCTAAAGATTTTATTGTTTGAGATTTTCAATTGGTGAATCTCAAAATCATGATTACGTTCTATCTACTCAATTATTTGTTATGGATATTGGATGGGGTAGGCAACTCCTCTGGAAATAATTAATAAAGTTTTTAATAGATTTTGCAACTTTGTACCCCCCCGGACATTAAGCCCACTGTTGATCCCCTTCTTCTTAGGGTTCTCTCAGTCATGTGATAAGCAGCACCATCATTATGTTTCTATCTCTTCTCTCACAATTAGCTTATGTGTTGCATTTTTCGTTATCTAAAAGTATATTTTTTGATCATACACCCTTTTTGTAACAATTAGACTTTGTTACATGTTAAAACTAATAACTCAAATAATTAACTTCACATTATTTTGTATAGGGTAAAATTAAATAATAACGTAATTAATAAATAACTAAGTAACTTGAAGTCTTGCATCATTGATGACAATACTAATGTTATTTTTAACTAAAAATATCCACAATTAACATTAAACATTCTAAAAATATCACAAGTTATGTTAAACATTCTAGAAATACTACGATTTACATGAAACATTCTAAAAATGAAGGGATGGAATGTAAAATATTGTAAATAATTGTGTTCCTCAGAAGACATGAACAAAAAAGCTGTACCTTTAAATGACATGACCATTCAAACTCTCACCTCTTACACACGCAGAGAGAAGATCCAAGCTCAGTAGAAACATTTGCAGTTGACAGTCTACTATATGAATGAATTATGAATGCAAGCCAGTAGAAAACAGTCTATTAAATAAACCACTTTTTACCAACTGAAATTTTGTCCAATTTTTTAACATTCACGGGTTGTTTTTTTTATTTATCATTTATTAAGCATAAACACATGTGTGTGGCATAATATCATAATATTCCTCTTTGGATATTTATATTTTTGGCACTCTTAATTAATTGAAAAATCTTGTTTGGTTTAATCGTGCATAGTGACAGACTAGAGCTCGTATCTTATGAAACTTGATTTTGAAAATATCACTAATAAACAAATTCCCCAATTCAAAAAATTCTATTTTCTTTCTACTGGTGTTGCTAGTTTAGTTAGGTCCACATATATAGTTACACGCATTTCTAGGGTTTCTCTTTCTTCTTTTATGTATAATACCCAAAGCGTTGCTTCAACTTTAGAATTCCCACAATTACCTGTTTTATTCAACTTTCTTCAAATTTAAACTGTTGCCCTCACTTCTTCTACCGTGCCTTTGTCATTAAGTATTTGGCCAAATTATCAATCTGAGTCACAAGAACCATACTAAACAACCTTCATATAAACAATATAAATTTAGGATTCGTTTATCAAAAGTTTATCGGGTAAGTTTTTATCCTCAAAAGTCGTCATCTTTACTTACCTTATTTGGTAGCATTTTCGATCATTATATCAAAATGAAATGTTGGTTAACATCTTTCATCCGCTAAACACTTAATGGGTAAAAGTCTTATCTCTCACTTATTGGGTAACATTCTTGTTCCTTGTTATGCTTTCTACCGGATAAGATTCTTGGTTATTGTCAAGTTCACTCGGTAAAATAAATGATGCCTAATAAGCGTTTACCCAATAAGAATCTAGTAAACGACCACTAAGTCTAATTAAATAAAAGATATACAAGTTGCAGGTCTCGTCATTTAGGGTATATGCAAGTCTAAAAATATAAAAGATATAGACATATATATATATATATATATGTGTGTGTGTGTGTGTATGTAGAGAGAGAGGACTTTGATGAGGGAGGGAGATAGGGTGTCTTAGAATGAACCCACAATAGTGCCGCTGTATTATTCCTCCATCGAAGAGAAAAAAATTTACGTTCCTGAAAGCTGCAACCGTATTAATTTGTTGTGTGTCATCGTATGTATTTTGAAATAACAATGAGACAAGTTTTATTTGGTAGAGTTGGTTTGCAAAACTTTTCTTCCACCTCATACCCGAGTTTGAATTATGTAGTCTCATATTCTTAGTCAAACAGTGTCATTGCACTACAACAAAATTGGGTTTATAGAACACCTCCAATCTCTAAGTGTCCTAATAAACCGCTTTTTAGGACCAAAATATAAAGCGTCCTATCTAAAGGTGTTGTAATAAGTTTATACGACACTTTTGAGCGTCTTAACAAGTTTTTAAGGACATTTCTAATACAAAGTGTCGCATTAGCAACTTTATACAAATTGTCCTATAAACTCAATTTTTTATAGGACACTTGTTTTTATAGG